CCCTTGCGCCTCTAAATGTAAGTTAATCTCGTTCACTAGAAAGCGTACTAACTCACCCTTTTTCTATACTATTAAGAGTACTGTTGCTTCACTCACCCTGATCGTACAAATAACTCGGCGCTCACCCTTCATGAGATTCCATGTTGGACTACGCACATAGCAGCTGTCCCTTCAAAAGCCTCCCAGTCTCTCGGCTATCTTCGTAGAAATTTGCGCAACGCTCAATCTAACGTACGCGCATTATCATATCTAACTTATGTTCACCCACAATTGCAGTATGCATCATCGACATGACACCATAACAAGATTACCGTGTGCGTATGTTGGAAGCCGTACAGAATAGAACAGCGAGATTCATTGCTGGTAACTACGACTATGATTCAAGCATCAGCCTAATGAAACAAGACTTAGCATTTATGTCACTGGATCAACGCCGCGTCAATTCCATTGTATGCTTATTTCATAGGTACATAACAAGTAATAAATCCCGCCGCTCGCCCTTTCATCTTCCTCTGCGCACATTTCGACGCATTCACAACGCTCGTTGTTTCATGCACGTTCGTTGTCAAACACAGGGATTTACCTTATCACCATTACCTCGAGCCATAGCACATTGGAACGGCCTTCCAGAATGCATTGTTTCCATTTCTAATCGTGAAACTTTTAAGTGTGAATACACTTTATAAGCGACCCCAAACCATCCACCGCCGTCGGCGGCGTCCGCAGTCTTCTCTCTATCTTTAAAAGAAAGAGGACTTGGCGGGCCGCAGCGCGACGCTCTACCGAATAAGCCACGGACGCGACGCTGATATCGGTGTCAGTAACGCGCCTTATACCCCCTCCCCCTTCGCTCGCTCCTCCGCTCTCCTCGCTCGCTGCAGCTGCGCGCGCACCCCTCTTTCTCGCGCGCCCGCCTTCTCTCTCAGTCTCCTGTCGAGAGCGGGTCGTGATGGGGAGTAAAGTTAAAATCCATTGGCATTCGCCAGTGAGTTAACCTAAACTCCCCCGTGTGATCAAATAGCGATTCCCAGGAACCATTACACCATAAAGGCACCATAGTGTGATTAATAAATATAATAGTGCGAATTAATAAATACCCCTCATAGCATCACCCCGTGTATTCGCACTTAACCATGTTCACCCTCGGGGAAATGCTTGGAAATTTGTAAAAACCTGACTTCGTTGCATTTTACTATTATATAACTTTGTTGCACCTTGCTGTTTATTATTTGTTTTCTTTGTTTTTGTTCTTTTTTATTTTTTGTCTGCATTTCTTGCAGTGCAGTCACTGATGGTCCCCTTACTCAATGCCTTTTAATGGGCATGTAAGGCGTTTTGAATAAATAATTAAACACTACTGGCGTTGATTATACGCGATCGTAAACTCGTCTTGTCTGACCCCGTTTCGGCCTCCATTTGTGCATTCAGCTCATTGAAAGTGCCGTATTCGAGCACCAGCACCTGTGGCTGCAACGTTCGCGTTCACAAGTGCTGTGGTCACTCATACTCGGCTGCATTGCTTGCTAGTCGCGTAGGCAATGTTTCACGCGAATCTTACTTTTGCGAGAGCGACATGTGCTGGCACGTGTTGTGGAATACAATACAATGACAGCCCGGGCCCCCTAAAGTGATTTACAATTAAAGAAATACAAATGACATTTTCAATACTGACACTGGGGAGTCTCGTTTTCCGAACGAGACCGATTGTCTAACGAGACGGAATGTCCAATGGGTCACGTGACGGGCGAGACTGAATGTCCAACGAGCCTCAATGTCCAACGAGCCTGAATGTCCAACCGAGACGGAAGACCATCGAGACGAAATGTCCAACGAGCCTGAATGTCCAACCAAGACGGAATGTCCAACGATACGGAATGTCCACCGAGACGGAATGTCCACTGTAAGGCCGCAAGCGCGCTTTCGTCGGAGATCGCGGGGGCACAACCGGTCGGCAAGAAATCGAGAGCACCCCACCACAGAGGCCTAGTAGCTAAGGTACTCGGCTGCTGACACGCAGGTCACGGCTTCGAATCCCGGCTGCGGCAGCTGCATTTCCGATGGAGGCGGAAATATTGTAGGCCCGTGTGCTCAGATTTGTGTGCACGTTAAAGAACCCCAGGTGGTCGAAATTTCCGGAGTCCTCCACTACGGCTTCTCTCATAATCATATGGTGGTTTTGGGACGTTAAACCCAACTATAAATCGATCAATCACTGCTTGAAAATTGTGATATATCATGTGAGCGGAACTTATAAAACGCGAATAAGTTAAACCAGCGTCAATTCTTCATAAATGTAGCCAATTTAGCTAGGTCAATGTGTTTGGTACAGACTTCTTAGAACGCATACACTCACTCATATATGTGAAAAAAGTCACTTTGATAGCGTAAGTGGTATCTGAGATATTATTCTCGAAGCATACCGAACGTTTCAGGGGATTTGGTGCGCTTAGGACAAGAAAGAGAGAGGTACAAGAAACTGGCGGGACTAGGGACGAGGAATGCGGAAGAAAGAGAGGGGTTGCTTGGCAGAACGAGTCGTGGGGCGCTCGACGTTTTTGTGGAAGCAGGGGAGTGGGTTGGGGGGATTAGGGAAGCTAATCAATTTGACAGCCCGGTTCAACATTGTAAGACGCAGGGGACATGGTAGTGAAAGAAAGAGAAAAAGGAGACGGTACCCTTTTGAAAAGTAGCCGTATTTTCTGTGTTCATCATGGGAATGAGTATAATCCTGCTGCTGCATTTTTTTTTCTTTTTTCAGTCCTGCTGCCATGGCTGGGACTGTAGTTTTTTTTTTTTTGGGGGGGGGGGGTGGAAGACGTGAGTACGAACAGTGTTGAGACGTAGTTGTGACCTGTACAATGCAACAACACTGGCCTGTGAACAGAAGAGGGGAAATCAGCAAGTCTGGTCATGATGCGTCCATGTGCATCGCCTTCTGTGGCCTCCGGACGTTTGCACGGACCTGTTCAGTGGTGTAAACTTGTCGGCATTCCCTTATTTCTGTGAAAATGCAGGCAGCGTATTGTTTGGGCTTGTTGTTGCTTACTTATTCTGTTACGCTGTAGTGAAATTTTCTTGTTTTGTGCTTGAAGCTGTTCATCTTGAAGAAATACATGCTCATATAATAACTACTTTGAAAAATGCTCACTACTAAATGTATCAAAACAGAGCGGGCAATGCTAATTGAAAACAATAAACAAAAAAAAAACAATGCCATCTTATCTCGAAAATTATTTCCCACAGGATATGAAGCTACGCTTTTCTTAAAGACAGGCCGAAACCATGCGAACTGTAAGTGACCCACTTTGCTAGAAGTACAATGAGAACGCACTGAAATGCGACCGTAATAATTATCATTAATGTTGGATAAAATTAGAAAATGATCGAGAGGGGCATTTCCGATGTCGTCTAAAGACGTACAGAAATTCAAATATTTTAGCTCAACAATTCTTTTTGAATTGAATGTAAACATTCGACAGAAGTCTGTCTGGTTGAGTATGAAAACTGGGAAATGACTGGTTGGGAAACTCCAACCAAAAGTTTTTGAAGAAACACCTTCTTCAACCGTTTCTTCAAAAGCTTTTGGTTGGAGTTTAAATCATCTCCCAATTGCTTTTGAATGGTTTTAGCAAAGGTAGAGCTATTGATTTAAAAATATATAGAAATCTTTCACCAGTGTGTGTGTGTGTGTGGTGTGTGTGTGTGTGTTTGTGTTGTGCCGTCAGTTTTAAAAGTTGCTTCTTCTCATAGACTCACAGACGGTATCGGATTTATTGAGCGTCTGAGGCTTCAGTGTTCTTAGTTTTGGTGCCTCTCGCATATGATTTGGAGTTCTCATGTATATTTTTTTGCTAAATATGAAGGAAGCAATCAGCTGAAAATTTGCGTCGTCAATTAATCTTATGGATGGTCCTTCGGAGATGGTAAAGAGTTGTTCCCGGTGGCCACGCGAATTTCTTCGTTTGTCGTGCATCGTTTTGCAGCATTACGGGCTTCATTTCGAAGCGCTGCGCTGAGTGCAACTTGAGTGCTGTTGATTTCGTGTGATATGTCTTACTGTGTTTTATTTACGCGATTGTGTTAAAGAGCTAGTTTCACAGAAATTCGCAGAAGGCCAGAGAGAGAGAGAGAGAGCACATGCGACGCCATGCACGCGCTATCGTTTCTGTGCGACGGGGACCACGTACTCCCACGCCCAAACGCGTTCCTTAAGAGCATTTAATTGTTGCCAACACGTTCGAATCATTGGGAGTTTTCCCCCATAGAAATACGTAGGACAGTGCCGGGACCAGGGCATCTGTTCAAATTTACTGAGTTCGCATTAACGAAGTTTCACTATAATGATTAGCAAGCATTAGTTTCTTCAATTGCTTCAGGAAGGGTGATGTCGGCGTTCTGACGCTGCTTGTATTTCGTGAACGTAAACATTTCTTCAGCGCATTGTATGTAGCTTTTGGTCAATCCAAGCGTTTGATCTCCTTCTTGCGCAACACTTTATTGTAATTGCACGAGAAATTACGATCTGGGCGTCCATGCACCGAGACAATCTGTCAAAAAAAAAAAAGCAAACACCTTTCCCTAATTGCCAATGTTGTTCATTATGAGCACAGAATTTGAGCTCATAAGAACACACACGCTGCGCAAGTCAAACATCTCCTCAACTGCGAAACAAACAGAAATATGCCACGCCGTCAGTAACGTTGGTCAGTAACTTTAAAGAAAAACTGCAAAACTTGAGGTTTCGGTTTCGCTTTTGCTCGGCAGCGCCAGCTGGAAAATCTATGCTTGCCACGGAGGAAGGAAGGCGAGCTTAAAGTACAAATTGTGCCGTAGCCCGCCACAGAAAAAAGTCTCATTCAGCGGAACCGTTCGGTCGAAAAATGTAAGGTTTGCGAAATCACAAAGAAACGGCGTTGATTGCGAAACAGTTTTTTTGACGACAGCGGTCAGGTTACAACAGCGGTTGGTGACGACTACGCTGGTGACGTCATCCTCAAGAAAAGCGGCGAGGGAGGTCGGGAAACGGATCGCAACGCCGCGAGGTGGCGACAGAACGACGCAGGTATTTTCTTCTCCGTGGCGAGTGTTAAGACTTTTTTGTGTCGGTGTAGAGCGCTGTGCCGGGGGGGACTCGGTTAGTAGCAAGAACAAGAAGCAATATTCTGCGGTTATCCTTGGCGATTCGTCACGGTCAAGCAAGCTAAACCAGGCGCCCCTACAGCCGAAGTGGGCAAGAGGCAAACCCGGCGAACGACCCGACTCCTCCCGCCCGCGCACCGCAGCAAGCGAACCGGAGCGAGAACAGCGCAGTGAGCAGCGGCGGCAGCGATGGCTCTGAAAAGAATAAAAAAGGAACTCGAGGACCTAAAGCGCGACCCGCCGGCGCAGTGTTCGGCCGGGCCCGTCAACGACGACCTGTTTCACTGGCAGGCCACGATCATGGGACCGCCGGACAGTCCGTACCAGGGCGGCGTTTTCTTTCTGACCATACACTTCCCGACGGACTACCCGTTCAAACCGCCCAAGGTAGCGTTCACCACGCGAATCTATCATCCCAACATCAACAGCAACGGCAGCATCTGCCTCGACATACTACGCTCTCAGTGGTCCCCGGCGCTGACCATCTCCAAAGTGCTGCTGTCGATTTGCTCGCTACTCTGCGACCCGAACCCGGACGACCCGCTGGTCCCCGAGATCGCACGCTCCTACAAGACCGATCGGGAAAAAGTATAATGAACTGGCCCGGGAGTGGACACGGAAATATGCCATGTGACCCGCCGATCACACGCCTGCTGGCCTTGCTGCTCTGACTTTGTACAAACCCAACGCAGCGGCTGCGGGAAGGCGAGTGCTTATTGAGAGCCGAGAAAAAGCCGGATAGAAGGGCAGCAGTACCGCAGTGGCTTTGTACGAAGCGTGGCCGAGGCAAGATCTACACAGAAAGAAGAAGAAAAAAAAAAGTGGCGAAAAAAAATCGCGGGGCAGAAAACGAGACGCGCTGCCGACGCTGTTAGGCCTAACTCAAATTTAGCACTCCCCTTCTTCAGCTGCTCGTAATATTATTTTTCTTCTCTCTCTCATCTCTGCCCCTCACTCTCTTTGTCGGGTCGTCACACTGTTAGAAAAAAGGAGGAACGTCGTCTAAGCCAAAACGGCCCCGTAGAAGTCGAAAAGCCCATCCTTTTACCTTCATTTTTTGTTCCTCCCTAAGCCCCTCGGCTTTCCAGACGCGCTCTTTCTCTGTCATCAAACTGCGACGAAAAATCCCATCTTCAGTGTTTCTTTTGTTTTCCGGGGCTTTGTTTATTTTAACTCGGAATGCGCGGCGTTATGCTTGCTTGACCTCCGAAAGAATCGGTGAATTGACCGGGTTTTAAAAGCACATTGGATTCACGATGCCCCAACAAATTGTCGTTAAATCAGTGACCCGCCTATTCTGTTCCCTACGCCCCGGTACTTTGTACGCGAGTTTTATTTCCCAGTGTTTTTTTTTTTTTCTAGGAACCTGAGTGTGTGTTTCTCAAAAAGACACATTATGTTCTCTTAGGACATTGTATTTTCTTGCTCATTTTGATGTGTGTGCATGCACTTGTCACTGCCCGGCATTTCGGACATGTTGCCTGTTGTTTGAAATTGTTGCTTTGTCTATAGAAGTGATACCGAGCCCTGAGTCCAACCGACATCACCAGCGAGTGCGACGGTGACAGTGCTTTTTTTTTCCCTTCTTTTTCTCGTAAAAAAGAAAAGGGCTGTCAAGATTGAGGCAGCATGTCACCGCCCTCTCCGTGGCTTTGTCGTCGCATCTTTGCTTGTCAGACATGTAAACTTCTCTTGGAGCGCCCCAGCCATACTCTTCCCGGTTTCTGCTGCCGCTCTACAACCCTGAAACCAACCCGTCCCATTTCCCATGCACCATAAGCAGAACCATCGATTCGGCAATGCTTGTTTTACTTCCTTTCCTCTCTGGCTGCGTCTTCGAGGCAGTCCTAAACCTGTTCGCTTGTCTGTTTTTTTCAATTACTTACATAAGTGCTGGATTATTAAAGTATTTTGTGTGTGAGGTACAAGATGGCGTTTCGAGTGCATGCTATTGTCTATGGGTGCCCACGGCAGTGCGGCAGGCGCTGCTTTTTTGAGTGTGACAAGGGCAGACAATTTCAGTCTCGGTGCAGTGTGTTTGCCGAGCCCGGCTGAAAAAAAAAACGGGTACCATCAATTTTGCTGTCCGTGTGATGCCATTGGCGATGCACCAGAGTCGCTCCGGTAGACTGTTACACCTATGCATCTCGACATGCCCAGAGGTCACCCCACTTCTGCTTACTTGACAACAGTCCAATGAAAAATGTTGACAGTAGGCACTTTTGCCAAAATATTAAGAGGCAGAATAGCATGCCAGTTTAGCACATCATCACTGCGTGCTGGAAGGTGTCTGCTGAAGCTGCCTGGTAACATTTATAGCCTTGCAACTTAGGTTTGCGGGCGTAGTCTTCTTAGTCTTGTAATTCTCAAACTAAATCTCGTGGGTGATTAGTGTGCTCAGTTTCGGCATGCTTGCAGTGTCGGTGCTGTCGCATAGCAACAGTGTGCAGCACAGTTTTGCGTTTCACCCTCTCTTGCCTTTGTGTAGCCTTGCAGGATTCCTCGAGATCGAGCCTTTTCCTGAATACACAGACTGTTGAATCCCGTTAAGTCGCAGAGCCGCTGCGCTGCTGAACGGAACAGTCTCAAACATATGAAGGGGGTGGCCGTTTGGGCAACTTTCTGCACTGTGGAGAAGTGTAGAGACCGAGAGGTACCATCAATATTCTATTGACAATAGATGTCTGAAGGCGTACTGCGAACACTTGGCTACAGTTTTCTGTGTGCACTTGGCAACATAGCAACTGTATACAGCATCCGTGTTTTGTCACGTGTTGCGCACTTATTTGTGTAGTGTGTCTGACGTCCCATGTCTAGAGCTAAAGTAAATTGTCAAGTCCAGATTCATTCCAATCTGTGCCCAGCTTAAAAGTAATGGTTTTACTAAATTTGTTAATTTTTAAAGTTATGTAAACATCCTTGTAGTTCGTTACTTCAAAGCTAATTCAATGACCACCATTATCTAGACTGTGTCCATAAAGTCATCGTGCATTTTCGACCGGTCACAAGGAATTAATGCAACAGGATAGAATTGTAGTGGCATTTTGTTGGACATGTCATATCATTCAAGTGTGTTGGTCACTGATTTGAACATAGAGAGCTACAGAACACACTGCACTTTGCTATGTGCCATCCGCATCTTGACTGTGACATTCGTAGCTCTCTTCACCTTTGTGCACGCCAGGGGTGGGCACGGGGAGTGAGGGGGAAAGGCTTGAGCCCCCCCTCGAATGTTTGCCTGCCCCCCTCCTCCCCTGGTAAAATAATCCTGGCGTACACTGTTGCAGATCATACTGTAAAAGCTTAGAAAGCTCTCCTTTTATTTGGTAAAGAGTGCAGATTCACATCTTGATTTGGTGCTTTCCTATGACCGCTCATAAGTTTACTGCGACTTCATGAACACATTGTACGTGTAAGAGCATTGAGAATAGTTTCACAAGATGGCAAAGCAGCGGGGAAAGTTCACGCAGAGTGACATTCAAGGAGTGCTCTTTCTGCTGAGCGATTTTAATAATTTAAGTAGGAGAAAAAAAGCTGCTTATCATATTCCAGGTGGTGCAATATGTGCTGTGACACATGCAACACCTTGCTGTAGATGGTCAGAGATGCGTGTGGTTTTAACGTGCACCAGGGTTAACGAAAAGTTGCTACAGCACCTACGGCAAATGGGAAGTACGACTGCTCGTATTGTCGTCCCCTTCCACATTTCCTTTTCTGAACGGCTGCATTAGACTAGTATGCACAAGCCAGTCTAAATGGGGGACAAAGTGCCTTGGTGGTTGTGGGCGTGCACCACTCGCTTTCAGTCATTAATATTTATGTCGTCTGGACGAAACATTTGTGTATTAGTATAATGTGTTCATTTCACTGATAATGCCTCTTGGCAAGGTTTATAAATCATCTAGTATGGAGAAAACAGTGGCAGAATGGCTTTAATGGGCTTCCGAGGCTCCACTAATTGAGGCTCTTGAATCAAAGAGCTGTCAGATCCAATTGCTGCCCGGCCACACTGAATTTGTCTAATGTTAACTAGAATAATTCTCGTGTACACTGTCACCTCAAACGTCGTAAAATGTGTAGTTTGCTTGCGTCAAAGTGTTAAAATTTCCCACGTTTACATCCTTGGTAAATCGGTGCCTGCTAATCGCAACATTTGTTCCGTGAAAGAAAGGGTAGGGGCGAGAAAAAAGTATCTGTTCATGCCTGGCCGTAGTTGCGCGGAGTGGGAACTGAGTCTGCAGGGTTTATCTGCCTATAGGCATGTAGTAGTTGACTCACAATGAGAAACTACGGTTGTTTTTTGCAAGAACTTGAGAAATTTCATGTGCTAAAGAATTGGCACATGGTGAATTATTAGGGGTGTGGCTTGACATTGCTTGGCAAGGAACTTCTGAACAGTAAGCGGACAGTCATGACCGAGGACGAAAAGAGTTCAGTGACGCTTCAAGACCCCTACGGGGCACTTTTTTGTGTGAATGAAACACGTTCGGCCATGACTTATTCACATAGAAACCCGAAGTTTTCATTCTTTGTAGCGAATGTTGGTTGCGAAGATGAAATAGTCTGTTACGTTAGTGCAGCCGAGAGTTGTAATTTCTAATTTTGCGATGCGGACCATTTCGTAGCATGAATATTGTAGGCACGCTGAATACTCTCTGGCATTGCCTCGAAATTACTTGGCACAGTTGGCACACGAATGCTTTTGTAGACAGAACACAAGATTGCATAATTGCAAGATTGAAACAAATGAAGACATTTGTGTCCACGCACTGGTGCTTTGGCTTTTGTACTGTATGGACAGCCAGTGGAGTCTGAACCCAAAGCTTTTATTTTCATGAAGCCCCGCCGTGGTGGTCTAGTGGCTAAGGTACTCGGCTGCTGACCCGCAGGTCGCGGGTTCGAATCCCGGCTGCGGCGGCTGCATTTCCGATGGAGGCGAAAATGTTGTAGGCCCGTGTGCTCAGATTTGGATGCACGTTAAAGAACCCCAGGTGGTCGAAATTTCCAGAGCCCTCCACTACGGCGTCTCTCATAATCATATGGTGGTTTTGGGACGTTAAACCCCACAAATCAATCAATCAATTATTTTCATGAAAGGTCTGCTGTTTTTCTGAAGTATAGCTAAACGTACCACCATGCTCCCAACAAATAGGCACGCAGTACTTTTAAGTATGGGGTTGTTTCAAGGCTCTTGTATTGTTGTGTAAACTGATAACTAAAGTATTTTTGCTTAGCTGACTGCACTAGTAGCGTAATTTTGTGATTGTTTACACTGTGGTAGCATATTTATTTATTTATTTAAACATACTGTCAATTCCAGAGGGATTATAACAGGTGGACAATCTAAGGCAGTGATTAACTACAGTCAATAGAAAGGGAAAAAAAATAATAAGATAAAAAATTAACAAACCAACCACAAAAAAGAAAACATATAAGCACATTTGTCAAAGTACAATCATATTGGCACTTTACCTAAATAACAAGAAAGATCACATAGCACCATATTATGTTTGCGAGGCTATCAAGTCACTTTCTACTAGTTTTGTGAAAGTGGCTAAGGATGTGCTACTGGTAATGGAGGGGGACAGGTTATTCTATTCTCTGATCACAAGCGGGAAGAACGAGAATTTGAAGGCGTCTGTGTGAAATCTGTAAGGGGCAAGGGTATGAGAGTATTTGTGGCGGTCAAGCTGTCAAGATCAAGTTTAGTTGCTTTGGGTGAACTTTTTGTGCACTACAGTGAAAGAAAATCGATGGTGAAGAAAGGAACGGGACAACACAAGCACGAACTGACAACTGTTGATTTTTACAAAATCAAGACAATATATACACACAACTAGTCTTCATTACTAGTTGCACCCCCCCCCCCCCAAAAAAAAAAAAAAAAGATCTCGACAATTGTTCCAGTTTGTCAACGCTTCTCTCACAGGTCTGCAACATTTCGAATGAGGCGTTCACCTGAATAAGGGCGCAGGAATTCGTTGCATGGCTCTCTTATCTGGGGTGTAGAAACGGGCTTTCCTGCTTGCTGTCTTATCAGCCTGGACTGAGCAGTGATAAGGGCACATGTACTTTTGTACCCACTTCTCACATACATACAGAAGATGGATCAATGCCAGTTTTCCAAAGTTCTCATGCTTTTGAACCTTAAAAGCTGCCACAGTGGTTTACTTGCCGTGACATTCTGCCATTGTGGATTATGGATTCATTTTTCAGTCACTCCAAGTCCTGCTTGAAAGGGACACTAAGAAGAAAAAACAATTTTCCTTACATTAGTAAGTTATTCTTTCACAATATCCAAATTGCCACGCTTGTCACGAGAAGACTTGCAAGTGAGGAAATGCATAAAAATAAAATGAAGGTGGTGGTGCCACTCTGAAATTTCTGCACCAATCGCCGTGACTCAGGTTCGGAAGGTCTCGGTTGGAGCCATTGTGGTTCCTAATCATACAAAATGAAGTTCATTGTCCTCCGAGGAGGTCGGAAACGTAACAAGTTTGAGGAAGTTTCATTGGGCCAATGTTGCCAAATTATGAAAAGGGACTTTGAAGTCTTAAATGTCACCGTTGATGTATAGGTGTGACATTTAAAAAGGAAAATTGTGCCATCGTTTCCTCTACAATAGTAAAAGCTCATTGATTCAAGTCTTAAACATCAGGTAATCAGAAAATCGCATAATTCCAATGCATACCAAGCAAAGCTGCTAGGGACCAGGGATAGTTTCCTGGTTCTTGGCAGCATATGCACTGTTTAATTAATTAATTAATTTATTTATTTACAGATACTGCAATCACCTTTGGTGATTTTAGCAGGGTGGTACATGAAGTTAGTCATGAACAAATGGCAAGTACAATGACATATAATATATACAGGTTATACAATGTCTATAGGGCAAATACACACTTCAACTGGCAATATCATACAATAA